ACTTCGTCTATCTGCCTGTTCTGCTCCCCACTCTGGCTCTGGTGAAGCCTCTCGCCGCCCCTGAGCCTCTGGCCTGCACCCCAGTTCCGTATGCACAAATAAATAAATAAATAAATAAAAAAGTGTGCGCTAGCTTTGAAGAAAGGTAAGCACCACATGGTTTGTATCTTTCATTTCTTAGGTTAGCAAATGCTACACTATTACTAAATTATTGAAAAATCATTATTTTAAGGATTTAAAAATACAGGTTCCTAATACCTTACTAGTGAAATCTGAAACTCCAAACGCTCTGAAATATAAACATTTTCATTATAAATGAAATATAAACATATTCATTATAGTGACCCGGGCCACTCTGAGGCTGCCCATGGTACTTTTCTGTCCTAGCTAGTGTGAATATTTGCCACATATTAATTTGTTACGTTGCAAGAGTCCTCATGAGCTCACAGAAAAAGGAAAACAGTAGGTGGCATAAGGTCCACACTACTGCACAAGGATTGAAGGTCTGAACACTGACCTCCAGCTAGCCCTAAATGTTTTAACAGAGTGCAGATCTAGTATTTCTTCTTATGCTGCCTTTTCACTCTGTCGAATGTTTTCTTTATTGTATGGAAACCTGGTTGGAAGCCACCCTGGCTGTGCGTTGTTGTTTTTGTGTCGTATCCAAGGAATCATGAGCCCCATGTTTTCTCCTGAGCATTTTACAGATTCAGGTATATGTTTAAATCTTTAGCCCTTATTTAATGCACATGTTTAAACATCAATCCCTTGCTAAAGGGTTTATATTCAAAACATGTAGGAAAGTCAAATAACTCAGTAGCAAAAAATAGCAAGTAAGCAGATTAAAAAAATAAGAGCGAGCCTCGGACATGATAGCCGTTTCCTCAGTGGTGATATACAAGTGACCAACAGGTAGAGGAAAGGCACGAAGTGTCAGTCATCATTGGGGAAACGCAATCAAAACCACAGTGCTTGTTCGGATGGCTGTCACCGAAGCAACAAAAGACAGCTGCCAGCCAAGAGAAGAAGCTGGAAACCCTTTACACTGTTGGTCAAGTGTACAATGGCGCAGCGGGAGAATCTCCTAACAGTATGAGATTCTCAGGAAGTTAAAAACAGAACTGTCATATGGCCCAGAGATCCAGGTTCTGAGCATATTTCTTTCTAAAAGAAAGAAAATCAGTGTCGTAGAGATTTTTGTGCTCCCGTGCTCAACGCAGTGCAACCCACAACCACCAAGATACGGAAATAACATCCAGGGAATGACATCCACTGAGGGGAACTTAAAGCTGCGGAACATACAGGAAGCAAGAAATTATTGTGCTGTGAAAAAGAAGGAAAGTCTGCCGGACGTGGCAATATGGATGAAGCCGGAAGACATGTGCCACATAAAATAAGCCAGATAGAAAGACAAATGTGGGAAGACTTCACGTCTATGATGTTCCCAACTAGCCCAACTCATAGAAACGGAGTAGGATAGTTTTTGCTAGAAGCTGGAAGGAGAAATGGGGAGGTACTCTTTAACAGAAATAAAGCTTCAGCTATGTAAAATGAATAAATGAGATACTGAGTAAAAACGCTGGAGAGAAATAACAGTGTCGGCACACGGAGGCCCCGTTTGGAGGGCAGAGCTCTTGTTCTTTCCATAGGTGAAAGAAAAAAGCCAGACTTCACTGTGCATCCCCTCACCATTAAGCTCTTCAGACACCCCCGTACCCACTGTGTTGCTTTTCTATTCATAAACACTGACTTAAGTAAACAGTCTTTTCACACGAAATTCATTTTGGCAAACTGCACTCTAACAGTACTGTTAAATCCCAAGAGGCGTGACAAACGTTAAAATGTTTAACAGCGACTTGACTCTCAGACAAGGTGACTCCGTACCTGCAATGATCACGCTGCCGAACTCTTAGACATTTGACTGGGAAGTCTTTTTAAATACATCATCTTCATTTAAATGGCAACGTAAATCACTTGTACACTGAATATAAAATAAGAAAAGGGACGGGGGCATGCATCTATCTGAACCCACAATCAGGTCTGCTACCGTTCCGAATTTCCTTCCCAAGCCCGACAAGCAGCTGGGACGCGGGCACTTACCTGGGCGCGGAAGGACCCCTCGGCCATGTCCCATCTTCATTTTTCTGCTCTATCACTAACACCTGCGAACACGACACAATAAAATGGTGTTTTTCCTTTAAACAGCTTCAGAAGATTACCTGAATATACTAAGAAGCTCAAGGAGCTCTGGGCTTATTGAGAGGCCACAGGAGACAAGCTGAAGAGGCATCTGCATTAAGCTCCAAAGGAGCTGGGCAAGGAAGCTGAGAGGAAGAGAGACCCCTCAGCTATCAGAAGGCGCCGATGCGGCTTCACTTGTCGGAGGGTCCAGGGAAACCAAGTAAGGGTCAGAAGTAAATAAATGACCAACTTACAGGCAACTATAAACCAGAGAGGGGGAGGGGGTCAGAGCAGGGGTGGGAGGCACGCAGGTGGTGGGACCTCGGGGACCCCGAGAGGGGGAAGCAGGCACTGCACACATGTGAAAGTGATACAAAACAGATGTACGCACATAAACTGAAGAGAAATGAGTCAGCAGTGATAGAGGGCAGGAAGGGAAATTACTAGAAAACAATGTATTCTATGAGTTGAGGCATAAGTATGGATAAGCCAAGCAGATAAAGTCCTTGAGCTCAGGAACTACATTTTCTATTTCTTTCCGGTTTGTAGCTTTTGACATAGTTCTGTGTGAATGCCAGATGCTCAGTAAACGATTATAGATGCCGTTAAGCAGAACGACGCGTGACTGCCACTATTAGCAATGACTGCCAGCGGCATAGATACTTCCAAGCCACACATCACACGTGACTTCTCTGGGCTTGGAAGTTAGTCTTCATTTACGGCATCGCCATGTCAGTCACAGAATCTCTTCATCTCTAAATGCTAAGTCACATCTGCAAGAATCAGACTAAACTCCCTATTGCAGGATGCTAAGGCAGAAAATCATATCTAATAAATTAAAATTATATGCTAAGGCGGAGCTGTACTTTTACTTCAGTACCGTACTGTTCACAATAAGCTTTCCTTACAGCCTCTAGTTTAAAAAAAGAAGCATTTCCTTTAGTGTTTGCTGTGGGTGTGTCTGTGGAAAGAAGATAAACTAAGAAAAAAAAAAAAAAACAATTAAATTGAACAAAAGAAATATGAGATAATCCCAAGAAGCTAAAACAAACTCATAGAGGAAAACTTTAAAAGAAAACACAATGAAGGAAATCCAAGGCTTTACAAATCTTAACTTTTTCTTAAACTTAAGTTTCGCTGCAGACTGCTAACACACTTTGGAGGGCTGCACGCTTCAGGTGTCACTAAACTGGCACTCGAACCTTAACCAGGTTACCTGTAAGCCCGTGTCAGCACACACAGCACAAACACTGAGCAAGGAAAAAAATCCATGGAGCCAAATGGTGGAGCATGCTGAGAGTTTTTGGGGAGCAGCACCCCCTGGCAACCCTGCGGAAGCCGCTCTGATCCGTGCCACCCGCTGGGCCCCGCAGACACGGAACCACGCTCCTTGGTTTCCCGCTACGGCGCCAGCAGTCACGTTTCTTACTTACAGATTTGTAAAAGTCTACATGCTTTTCAATCACTGAAGGTTCGATTTCAGTCCTTTACTCAAAGATAATTTTCTGAGGAAAATGGATCTAGAATGATTTCAACATTTACTTAAACCGAACACAACAAACAGGAAAACAATAGAGACAACCCGTTTGGGGAGGCAAACTCTTCAGTACTGCATCTTTTCCCATTTCCTAATAAAGATACTTTCAATTTTTAAAATATTTATATTTAAAGTTAAAGAGTTTAATTCATTTATCATCAGTGAGAAAATAGCTTTCACAATCTGGAAATTTTAATGCATGGTCTTTGAAACATTTTTATTTTAAAAGATGAAATGTTCTTGTGGCTATTTAGTCGTATTAAAAAAAATGTATTCCCTATGCACAATCTTATAAATGCTTTCTTATCAAGAATGCAAAATTATTTAAATTCTTTAATTCTCAGTTTTTTTAAGTGAAAATGATAGACATTACATATAATCAATCAGTGAAAACACTTCAAGAGAGAATTTTATATATTTCAAATTCTATTCCTGGTGTTCCTTCAAGACCTGATAAGGGTCTCCAGGGAGAGAGATACAGGTCTGCTGACCATGGGGCTGGTTGCCTGTGGAGGGGAACTCAGATGGACAGTGAACAAGTCCCAAGGTTCTCCTCCATCTTCAATAAGGAAACTCCTTATACTATAAGACAAACCAGACTTTGCAAAATTTCACTTAAAAATATAATGCCTAAGGGCTCTCCCTGGTGGTGCAGCAGTTAAAAGCACAGCACAAAGAAGCTAAAGCGCTTCAGCACGAGTTTGATCCCTGCCCCAGAGGTGACCCACAGGGCGCGGCAGACCTCTCCTGACCCGCCCACTGCTCCCCTCAGCAGTGGACTTCGCCATTCTGCCTGTTCTGCTCCCCACTCTGTCTCTGGGGGAAGCCTCTCACTGCCCTTGTACCTCTGGCCCATACCTCAGTTCTGTATGCATAAATAAATCTTAAAAAAAAAAATACACACACACACATATATATATGTATATAGTGGCTAAAATAAACCCCCAAATCACTTTTTATAACCTACTACAATACTTGACATCTAGTGGGATTTACCAAAAATTAATGTGCCTCTGTTCCTTTTTAACAACTTCTTATCTACTGATGTCATAAGTCATTTTAATAAAACAAAAACTGCCATCATATTAGAGGACCACGCTCCCCACGTTTAGATACGAAATATAACTCAAAAACAAATATAACTCAAAGCCCAAGGCAAGCAAAAGCCTCAGAGTCTAGCTGGGAAGCTCAGGCGATGGACAACCGAAGTGTGTCACGGAGGATACTGAGCACGACCTCAATCAGGACAGGCTCAGCAGAGGAGAAGTCCTGGTGCTGGAGCCGGGAGCACAGTTCCCGAGGTAGCTAGGTGACATGACAGGGCAGGGAGGCACAGCTAAGCTGGCACTGCGGGCTGTCAAGGACTCTTGGGTAGATGGAAGCCAGGAAGAAGGGTCCGGCCTGGAGGGACGCACGCAGCGCTGGGTGCCTGGCCAACTGCCCCTCCGTCTGGAGTGGTCACTGCCAACATGGGACGTTCTAAAGATCCGGGAAGACGGGACTCGAGGCCAAACCGCGACTGTGATAAGGAACTGGACTGTGATAGACAATCGTTGGGGAAAGTTTCCGAAGGAGAGATACGAAGGCGTGGATTCTGGAAAGAGACTTCTAGCAGAAATCAGGAAGCGAAGCACGCAAAAGGCCAGGTGGGGTCAGTGCAGAGGCGGCCAGGGCCGGGTGGGGCACACAGAAACTCCGCAGCACAGGCAGCAGACAAAGCGAGGCCTGCTGGCGGCGCTCAGCACTCACTGCTCGTCTGGGGTCTGCGGCTGTGTCTGAAAGACCGCCGGGCTGGGCGCTGCCCTTCCCCTTCCCCGCAGAGTCAGTCAACTCAGCTCCCTGCCTGCTCCGCAGTTTCTGGGCACAGCCACACCCGCTGGTTAAGTCCGCATCCACGGCTACTTCTGTGGCCCACAGCCGTGCCACTTGTGACAGAGACCATGTGTCACCACACCAAAGACATTTACTATCTGACTCGCACAGAACGTTTACTGACCCATCATATTAGCTTTGTTTTTTTATCAAAAATAATTTCTTTTCATAGTCGCTAATTCTATAGCTCAAGGAGGGAATAATCAGCCAATGATCAGCAAGGATGGGGAAGAGGTGAGCTGGAAAGAGGAGGTGGGAGGGAGCAGAACCCACTGGAGACTGGCAGGATGTGCACAAGGCTGCAGCTTGAGGGGCCCGCACTGTGTGCTGCACCTAGCAGGCCCGGCTACAGTACCTGTCCTTGGTATAAGCCAGCGTCCTGGATGGTGCTGTCTGGCTTACTCAGCAGCTCAAACGTGTTACTCATGTATTTGTTCCACAATCTGGTCTCCTTTTCATCTGGAATACTGAAGATTTTTCTTATTTCCTTTTCAATTGTATCTAGATGTAAGGAGGAAAGACACGTAAACATAATGAACACTTTAGAGTATACCACAGATAGACCCTAATGCTCACCAATACAGAAACCCTAAATTTAAAAAGCTGATATGAAATCCAGACTAGATGAACAACCATGCAGGAAATATGCCAGGAAAACAAAACAGAAAATAGATCTTAAAGACCAAGTGAACTGTTCGAGAACAAAACAGAAACTTAAACTCTGACAGGTAACTTGGAGTAACTAAGATCTCACAAAGTATGAATCAGTCATAGAACTCTAAAGCATATACATGTTACCTTGGATGAACTTTTTACACATTATAAATCCAATACCTGTTCTGGTGACAGTTATTAGTTCAAAGTAGTTAAAGAACAGTTAGAGAAGCTACAGATGGAAAGTAGTTTTAATTATATTGACAGTGTAAACAATTTTTAAAATTATATGTAGTATAAACAAGAATAACTTAAACCGATGTAATTCACAGCTGGTTTAGCTACCTAAAGTTACCCTGAGGCTAAACAGAAAGCGACAGGGCCTCTTCGCAGAGGTGCAGGTGGAGGTCGAAATGCACACGAAAGGTGTATTTCGCTCTACATCAATCATCTAAGTGAATGCAGTCTTTTTCCTAACTGGAGTAGTTTTATCGCCTATAAGTCATAGGAATATCTATGTTTGAGAATAGAGATGTGATTATGTTTCACTAGCATACCACTGAATAAATCTTTAAAAATTTAAACATTAAAAGGAGGTATTACAAATGCTACTCAGTTTTTCTAATTCTGGTCAACTTGTCTGATTTGGACTCACGAAAACAGTGATGAGAATACTGATGACATATGAAGAAAATATTTCTAAATTCTAGAACTGGCTAGTCTTAGAAAACAAATACAATATAGATGTTCTCTAAAGAAACAGAAAAATCTGTACCTATCTTACATAATTATTATATTTAATATGATAATACAGTTTGTGGTGTAGTTAGCAGTTAACTTTCCGTTAAGAGTCTTGTAGTCAGTGAGAATTTCATTATGGCATTAAGTGGTAAATCTAACTGATGATCTCAAAACTAGAGTAAATTAGCCAGAATATTTAAATGATTACATAAGCTAAATAGTGTTTGTTGGTAAGTATTGTTTTCTATTTTGGTACGGTTGTTTTTTTCTTTGTAGTGAAGTGTAATAGTCATGCAGAAGAATGTACAGGTTATCAGTATACAATGATAACTTTCCAAATTGGAAACACCCACATAGCCAGCACTCAAAACAATGAACAGGGCATTCCCTAGGAAGACAGAAGAAGAAGCTGAAGGAGCTCATTTTAGTCTTTTTATGAAAATGACCCTTTTTCCCGCTTACAGAAACAGCTTGCTCTTTCCACATACTTCAAGTGTCTAGTGACTACCGGTAGGTAGTCACTGCTACCATGTCTGTATTTCTTCTTCCCTTTTTCCTGGTGGTTGATACTCATACACACAGGCATTTACACTGTACTATCTAGTACTCTGTAAGAAACACACATCCTCTTCATTGAGTTTTACGGCCTGCTAGTGGGGGAAGACGACTATGGGCAGGAAAGAGCAGTGCAAGGCCCTGAAGGAATGTACTCGGCTTGTTGTGAACAATCTGGTGCATCAATGCAGCTGAAGAGAAACGAGCCAGGTAGAACTAAGTAAAAGTAGTCATGTAGGGTGACCCAGTCTTGCGAGCTATGAAACTATTCTATTTTATTCCAAACAAGAGCAAAGTCAGTGAGGAGAATGAACAGAGATGGGGAAGAATGGTGCACAGATTTGGGAGGGAAGGGGGTTGAGTTTCTCATGCACCGTATATTTTGAGATTATACAAGTCAAGTGAAACTCGAATTAAAGCAGAGTCATGGAGAGGAGATCTAAATCTCAAAGACACTGCTATGCAGGAAGTGCCAAAAGCTAGGGAATTAGAAGAGGTGGTAAGGGAGGAGACAGGAGCCCCGGGATAATCATAGAGATACCCTGATATCTGAGATCAGAAATATGACATAAGGCTCTTGCGAACGACTGAGGAGATGTAGTTGGTGAGAACCTTGAGAACCTGCACTCGCCCGGGGAAGCCATGGAGAGACTCAGCCTGAGAATGGGGAGTGGCCCAGAGAAGCCTCCTGTGGAGGGAGGGGGGCATCCACACCACCAGGCGGGCCTGGGCCTGGGCGTGGCTGCTGGGGGAGCAGGATGAGGGGAAGTACAGCCAGAAGGCAAGTGCAGAGCTGGCTGGCACCAGGCACCAGGCACCAGGCGAGGAAGGCCAAGGCTGGGGCTGGGAATCAAGGCCCCTGGGTGAGACTATCAAGGGGTTTAGAGTGTTGTATCATTTTCCATACTTTAATCAGGTAGCATCCAATTAAGAAAAGCACAGAGTACAAAACTATTAATACAGGTCACAGATATACAATTGTGACATCCTATGCGAAGTACTTGATAAAAGCTAAGCCATTCTAGTAGAAACTTTACAAAGAGCTCTTCAAACCAAATTTTACCTTTCTTATTGGAACATGCTCAATGTCTACAGGAAACCACTTGGGGAAGTAGTATTCAAGGCGAAGTTCACTGTCTCTGATGTGGCCGACCACTTGGGGACTATGCCTACTGCTGCTCTCGCTTTTAGTCCACAGTACCAGCGGGGATGAAGCGTTTTATTAATTTGGTAAAAAAGGAAAATAGGTACTCCCCTGACAAGAACTGTAATTCACATACATAGCTATCAGTGTTTTGATTACTTTTTGATTACTTTTAAAGACCACCACACGGGAGACTATCACTCATGTATTTCCTCTCACTTCCTTTAGCAAAACAAAATCAGCTCAGTGAACACCTACACAGGCTGTATAAGGGAGCGATTAAGAGATGAGATCAGCTAAGCTCCAGGCTAGGCGTGAAACATCAGCTCTCACCTGGCAGGCTACCTGGCCCTGGAAGGCCTTCGCTTCCTACCTGTGAGACGAGGAAGCAGTGCTGGTGAGGTTTATGTGAGAAAATTCCTTTGAAGTGCCTAAGATACAAGTATTCGCTAACTGTGAACTACTATGTTGTAGCTATGAAGTCTCTAAAATTCCTGTGGTTCATTTTAACTTTACAACTTTTCGCTTACAAATTTTCTTGTGCAGAAATGTTTGCTGTAATAGAAACTTTCAAACTTTTGAAGCCCAGCAACTGCAGGAAGGTACACACATGTGTGCTGGCAGTCTGCTCACACATTCCCATCCCGCGCTCCCAAAACTGATGGGAGCAAACTAAAAACCACTAGAGTACTGACAACCCAACTTGCTAAACACTGCTGCAAGACAGTGTGAAATTTTAGCTGTACAAAAATCGGTTCATACACAATTTTAAAACTTGTATCTTAATGTAAGTAGCATTTAGCATTTTAATATATTTAAACTATGCTGATTAAAATCTACACTAGATCCTAAACTTTTCAAAGAAATGATTGTTTCTCAATTATGAGAGTCCGTAACAAATTTTACTTGACTTAATGAGAGAACTTTGTTTTGAACGCAGAAGTTACCCGTTACTGATATTTGTAGTTTTAAAACATTTTCTCAGTTTTAAATTTTACTATTCGAGCCTTGAATTATTATTCAGCAATGTTGTAATAGAGAATTTTGGATGACCTCATTTATCAATATATATTGTATATTTTTTCTGTAGAAATGAGATTAGGAAGGAAGAAAATACCAAACTTTAAAAATAACCATAAAGCACTATGCCAGTATTTAAAATTGTTTCTTATCTATTTTCCAACTGGCTGAACACTTCAGATAATAGTCTCTGAATTAATGGATGAACCTGGTCGGGCAGACAAGGTCACGAGGGCACACAATTCAGTGTCATGACTAACGTAATGGCACATGGTGTCCTGAAAATTCCAGCTTTAGGACGCAGAAATGCTTCACACTTCCCTGTGTGTTTACAAACCTAGAAATAATTTATCCATAATGATGTAACAATATGACATCTATAGGTGGAATTTCTAATATTTTAAGCATTTGTTTTAGAAAGAGGCTTGTATTCATGTACTCGAGTTACATCGCAAACTTCTAAGTTACTAGGCAAATGAAGAGCAGGAAAACAGAACATTCATGTATTTTATTATGTGTAAAATTTGGATGAGTCAATACTGAGGACCAAGGAATAGTACTTATTTCAGAAGGAAAAATAGGGCAACATATTTTTCTGTCTTGAAATGTACCTGCGCACAAACGCCTGCTACCCCAAGGGGAGCCCGCAGCGGCTCCTCAGGGCTGCAGGCCCGGCCGGGAGGTGCTCGGCGGAGTCCTGCGCCGCCCTCCAGCACCCTCCGCGACATCAGCACTGACCGCGCCTTCTAGTAACACATTTGGAAACCACTGCCTTTTTGAAAGTTTTACTTCAAGCTACATTTTATTTAAAAAGCACCATCTTTTGTTATTAAATGAATAATCTTTTATTTAAAAACATTCAATTTAGTACAATTTTTATCTTAAAACAGGCCTTTAAAATTGAATGAAAAAGGTATTTTAATAGGTATTTATGTAGAGCTAGCTATAGCTTTAGCTACACTTCCACCTGAAATTGTGACCTACCCTACTCATTAAAAACAAAAATCAATGTCATTATAACGCTAAGCCTCTCGACTTCATTAACTTAAATGTGTTTAAATCAAAGAAAATAAATTGAGGAAAACGGAAATAAACAACTGTTACTTTCCATACTAAGAAAGTCATTTTTATTATTATGGGTATACAATATCACCTGGCCAACTTTTATTTAAGCGAGATGTAAAGTTTTGCTTTAGTTTATATTCATGTCATAAACATTTTCAAATGCGAAAACAGTAACTTTGATTTTTAAGGAGGACACCAACATTAACTCCACTAAGCTAACAGAAGGCACCGAGAAAGACGCGCGGCCGTCTGGGCTGACGCCGCCGCTCCGTACGAGCAGGTCCGGCCCAGGCGTCCGCGCCCCTCAGAGCCCCGGCGCCGGCCCTAGCAGCGGCGGCCCAGGGGCGGGTCTCGCATTACCGATTGTGTCAGCTTTGCTGAACCTTCGCGTCACCACGTTGCTCACGCCCCCATTCTCGCAGAGCTTCAGCTCCGTGAGGTACACCTCCACTTTGCAGTGCTTCACAAACATGCCCTGTTCCACCACCTACAACGAAACAGCAGACCCGTCAGACGCCGCGTTTCCACTCCACGCAATGCATGTTCCTCTACCGCGGCTGTGCGGCACGGCTGAAATGCAGCGACTATAAAACTTATCAGCAGAAAGTAAAGGTAACAGATGGCTGCAAAGACAGACAGAGCTTTGTAAATGTTCACGTCTAACAGATTCTGGACGACAGGCTATCAAACACTGAGCCAGTTTGGAGAGGTGATCAGCGCAGCAGGGAAGCTACTCTGATACGCTGGTCAGGAACATACCTAGTGTTTATGAACACAGGAAATATGAGCGTGCCTAACATTTACCAGAAATGGAAATAAGGCTGTGACTACAGGTAGAGACACACCTGTAGCTTTAATACTGGACCCCAAGCAGCAAGTAAGCTTTCTAGGTTTCAGTTAGCAACAGCCGGGCCACGCTAGATGCTAACGCAGCTTTAAAGTAACTCAGTGACTGCTGCCAGACTATGTGGCCACTGTTCTGTAATCGATGCTAGTTTTCCACCCTCAATGACTGTGACCTTTATATACTCACTCAGTAGTTCCATCTAACAAACGGAAAAAAGCAGCTGTAAGCATGCAAATAATGCAGAGAGAACACATACACACACACAATTTGGGTCACCTTTTTAGTAAGTGTATTTTCTTTTGCTCTTCTAAAGGTTAACTGTGGGGTTCAGTCATCAACACTGTTTCTGAAAATAGCAGCTGGCCCGATACGTGACCCAGTGGACAAATGGGGCCCAGGAGGGCTCACACAGTGGCATCGGGTCACTGACGGACACAACAATTTCATCTTTCACTTCTAGGAAAATTGTTGTATCTCAAAAAATTCAAACAGCTTATTCAGCACTTAATGTTGAATCCAACATTGCTGTAATTTGCCTTACATATTCTCATTGCTACAGTCACATTTCTAAAAAGGTTAACAATGCCTTGCACCTTTTCCTCTTAATTCACTTTACAAGCTGATACACAATGTTTAACTCTTAACTAGTTGAGATTTGTTTTAATTCTCTCATGCTTATTTATAAATTAAGAATGTAGCAAAGGACTTATTATTTAATTTTAAAAGATTACCTGTAGTAATATTTAAATATTTAGAAAAACTAGGAGCCAAATAGTCCTATCAATTAGACTCATATCTCAATAAGGACTCAAATCTGAATAAGAATCTAAAAAAAATTTACATAAGTACTAATTATGTGGTAGGTTGCTAAAACTGAAATAGATCTCAATTTTTTGAGGAAAAAAGTCTCAGTAGAGTAGATAACAGAATAAAGAAACAGGATAAAATAGCAAAAAATAAGAAAATGACTCATTATGAATTATATTGCATATATATTTTCTAAATATGAACAGTTTCCTTCAAACGTGAGAATCAATTTTCATAACCCTCACTGATAGTCTCCTGGAAAGAACTATCAGAAAGTCAAATCAATGAAAAGCAAACAGGCACGAAACAACGTATAAAGATCATTTCAGTGGCACCTTTCACTGCTAAAACCTCATTCTCACTATTCAGAAAACTGTATTTAACGACTTTAAGTGGTGTATTAAAAGTTGTTCTTTAGAAAAAGATAAACAGCACACTGTTCACTTCCGGGTGGCATACAGAAACATTAGCAGCAGCTCAGGGCACAGACAACGCTTGCTGCGGGGCACAGCTCAAGCCCACCCACAGGGCAGGTGCTGACCACCGGGAGATGCCAAACGCCAGACAAAAATGAGCAACAGGAGAAAACACATTTAATAAAAAAAGTTGGCTCTTTTAAAGAAAATGTTGTCTAATTTTTTATATGAAAGGACCATACCATACGAGCTTGAGTTTGAGAACAACTGCAATTAGCAGGGAAAGTGAGCTGCCATGACTCAGCATTCAGATTCGATTCATATATAGATGAGCCGCCTATGTAATAACAGCTCCTTTATATTTGTTTGGTCTCCTACCTTCATCAAATACGTCTGCACTGGAAATAATCTTTTAAAATGATGGCTGTGAAGACTGTGTAAAAGGAAGAAACAAGCTTATAAAGAAGAACAGAAAGCTATATTGACCTAATTATTATAATCATTATAATGATTATTTTGAAAACAGGCCAGAAGGTGAATATTTAGACATTAACTCCTATGTTTCAGAATTACAAATGTCAATTAAAATATTTTCAAGTGACTTATAACACTACTAAGTATCAATCAAATTGCGGTGAGCCAAAGATGAACTCTGCCTCCTTATTCATCACATAAAAGTACTTGTTCCTAACCCTAAAAGTTACAAATTCGCTCTACAAGTCGTTTGCAGCAGTTATCATTCATTTAGGGCATAGAAAATCTGCAAATTATCAGACCTGCTGATTTAAATTGGAGGAAGGCTGATTTAGTAAAGGTTCCAGACAATTCTCTGCATATTGAAGCTTAAAACCTACTTTATTAGTAAAGTAAATCAAATACAGACTTGATTGACGAATAGTGATACTGACTTGCTCCTTTGATATGCAGAATAACTGGGAAACAGGTTTTACATAAAGTGTAAACACAAAATAACCGGGACACCCAAACAATTGGAAAAAGCTAAGAATTTTAGCTCACTGGGTTTGTTTCAGGATCCTTGTTAAAAATAACCGTCTCCTAACAGTCTTAAACTTTCTTTACACACATGTGAACTTTTCAGAATGTTACCCTTTTTACTTTAAATTGCTTTTCAGACAGTGTTCAAGAAATCACAAGACGTCTTTTAAAAGTAACACCAGTGAAATCTATTTGTAAATCTGTTTACCATACTAAGATGTTTAGGGTATAATATACTACACTTGTTTTTAAGAATAGCATTAAGGTTCAAATAATACAGCATATATAGTTTAAGACAATACAGATAAACCTTTTCTTTCTTTTATCCCAAACTGATATACAGCTGTAAGTAGTTATCTTTCAATCAGTAAGAATGCTCAATTTTTCAGCAATCACCGATAAAGTGATAAAAAATACACAGATACACATACCCACACATAAAATTTATACAAATGTGTGTAAATATATATGTATAGACTTTAGGAGAGGAATCCTGCTTCTGAAAAGGCTATGAGGCAAGGTTGAGTGATAATAATGAATGAAACTAAACACTACATCAAAGGCATATTCACATTCTATGTAGAAAACAAGATTCAATTCTGCATCTAAATTATATAAACATACAAATACAATTTAACACAGCAACTCTGAGGTACTGGTTACAAATAAATACAGTCTACTAGAAGTGTATATTCCTAGGCTTTCTAGTTATTTCTATTTAGGGGAAGGAAAAAAAAAAAACTGAGATAATGTTCAGAGATTCTGGTCATTACCAACCCTTCACACCATTCAAATACACTATTAAAAACTCCTGTGGAGTCAGATCTACTTTGAGCATTTGGTGTTGTTCTAGTTTGGCAACACTCATCATTTCATAAATGACTTTTCAGTCTCAAAAGAAAACAAAGTGGATCACTTTTAATGTTTCTAGGTTATAACTAGAAAGCTTTATGAGAGTTCATCATTTTCTAACTGATTTCTCAAGAAAGCCATGCAGCATGATAACTGAAAATAAAGGAAGGGTACCTGCCTCTGCACATTGATTTGACTTTCTTTTCTTGCATCTGCACTGAAAGGACAGGCTTATCAGGAAAGAAAGAAAGAAGCACCTGCCTCGTCACAGGTGGGCAGGAGTCCCGGGATGGGCTACCCAAAGACGGGAACTGTCTACTGTCCTCATTCCCTGGTCTGAGACCTGCGCTGATACTTACTTACCCCAGAGTTTTCTGTGAGGATTGCATTAGTTAATAATGTGTCAGTAGAGGGCAGTTTTAATGTGGGCTAAGTCTCTGCGGGTGAGCTGTTAGTATCACACACTACACAGTGACATTTGGTTGCCTTTTCCTCCCAACACTTCCCGAGGCCTCAGCAGCTGGAACAGAGCTATATAAGGCGACTATTGTCACTCAACTGCTATTTCTACGCACCTTGCGTGCTATTGGTTCCTGACCTTCCATCAGTGTGTACCAGCTGACAAGTTTATTCCAGCCCTCAGTTGGCAACAGTATGTAATCCAATTCATCAATTAGATGTTCTTTAAGTGACTGGGCATCGCCATCTGCAAAAACAAAAATAAACTCAATAGACATAGACACAGCAGTGCGGATCTTAATAACCTGGTTGCATGCATTACAAATTAACTCCTAAGACTGATTTAAATATTTAAAATAACTGACTTTGAAAAAAGGCTCTGAAGAGGTTTACATAGAAACCCTCATATTCCAAGAACTTGCTGCTTTCAATGGCACTTTAATAACAGTACACTTTCAAAAAATAAAATTTATATGTAATGATATACTACTTAACTACTGAAAAAAGATGAAACTGTCACTTGCAACATGGATGAACATAAAGAAGATTGTGCTTAGCAACATATACAGAGAAAGACAGACACGGTATGATTTCACTCATTTATGTGTTTTACAAAAAAAAAAATGAAAAGATTAACTAAATAAAAGAAAAATAAATTTCAGAATAAAGATCTATTAGCAGTTACCAGAAGGGAAGGGGGTAATTTTGGTCAAAGGGGTCAACTGTACGGTGAAAGGAAGAATTGACTTTCAGTGGTGAACCAGATGTAACATAACCTGTTACCTGTAATGCATGCAACCAGGTTATAACATAAACAAGCTAATTTTTTATAATATACACCTAAACCTATGTAACGTGATAATGCAATGTTACTTAAATTTTTAAAAAGTTCCAATGTGCACCATTAAGTCAACCAGTAATACCTAGAAACATAATTTTTCATGTAGTAGGCTCCTAAAAAGACCCAGTGAGGTATAAATTTTAGTTTTTCCCAATCTATTGGGTGTCCCAATTATTTTATGCTTACACTTTACGTAAAACCTGTTTCCCCGTTATTCTGCATATCAAAGGCGCAAATCAATATTCTTGCGCAATGACTGCACAGCGCACGGGCTGGGAACCCCGGCGAAAACTGCAAAGGGCGCGTTGTAAAATCAATTCGTTTCTCCTGAAGACACATGGGCTAGGCAGAGGCAGGGGCTCAGATATGGCTCTAATGATGTATTTGTACATTTCTGATGAAACGGAACAATGGAAGCAGGCCAGGCCAGTACATTTGTGCCACAGTCCTACTCTGAGGCTCATTTGTTATCATTTGCTCCTTTAGTTTAATTTTCAAAGTGTAGAAACAGAAATAATTCACCGAGTTACATTCCATATAAAAAGGATTTTCTCATTCCGGGCTAGTCTTCAATTAAGCATGGAACATACTATTTTTAGATACAACAGAATAAATCAAGAACAGGAAAAATGCTGAAAGAATTAAGAGGAAGGTGTCTAGGACCAATGTATAGTTACAAATTTATACTGAACTTTGAGAAACTTTCATCTGGAACTCAAATGAGAAAACTCTGAATTTCATAATATGAACTTTAGTAACAGATGCAAGCTAAGTTAAAAAAATTGGTAAATTCAATCTTTTGAACCTTAGTTGTAATTTAATTTCTTTATCAATACTGATAATTTGGAACATTATTTTCAGAAGTTGTTGAGATTAAAAAAAAGTAACACATTCTGAATCCCTATATGCACACTATACTATGAGGCATTATTACACAGATGGTGTTGTAATCTTGGTAATTTGAAAATAATCTTACAAAATAGGTATCTTCATTGAATACAAGAATACTGAGCAAAGTCATACACATAGAAGACTACAGGTACTGAAAAATATGTCATACAAAAAGTACTATTACATTGCTGTTTTTCAAATCAATATTATAAAGAATGTAGTCTCATTTTACTTACTAAGCAATTCAGGTACTGATTAAACTGCTAAAGGATAGGAATATGAAAATTGTAGACTCAATCCAAACACAAATCTAATTATTCTAACATCCATTTCTTTTTCACTAAGAATGCCTCAAAGAAAACTTTAAAAGCAACAGCAAAATTTAAAAATGAAAAATTGCGATGTTTTCCACAAAAATTCAACAGCTTGGGTAACACTTTATGTGCCAGAAGGCAAAGAATAACTACTACCTAGTGGACAAAATAAAATGATCAGTTCATTTTAAAGGGGTAAACACCCCTAAATAGATTAAAAAAAAAAAAACAACCTACTATGTCACTTCATTACTTTATTCATTGATAATTAATTGCTAAGCACTAAGGTGCATAAATTTAAGGTGCACAGCCACAGAAGTGTCAAAGTCACTGTCATTAAATTAAAATGGCAGCTACACCCTCACCTAATCCCTTAGTTTTCTGCAATCTCTGCTTTCTTTCATCCAGTCCCTAGAAAACCACCAAGTTTCGCAACGATAAGCGAATTTGCCTTATCTAGAATTTTATATAAAAGTGGCATGTTTTCTGTACTTGTGGACGAATGTACATTTATTAGAATCTTGTATAAAATAATGCACATGTATTGCTTTCGTTGGGTTTCACTTATACTGTATAGTTATCTTGATACTCATCCATGTTTTTACATATCAATAGTATGTTCCCTTTAATTGTGGAGTAGAATTTCATTACATGAATATACTAGAATTTGTTTATTCATTCAGCTGTTCACAGGTCTTTGGTTTGTTTCCAGTTTTGTTTTATAAATTACAAATGTACAGAATTCAATCTCTCTACAAGTTTTCTTATGGATATATGCTTTCATTTTTCCTGGATAAATACTTAGAAGTGAAATGTTAAGGTTTTTTAATAAATTGCTAGACCAGTCATTCCCAGAAACCACGTATGGAAGTTCCACTGGACCACATCCTTGCCAACATAGTGTGGGTCCGTCTTTTAACCATTTCATTATGTGTATGAAAGTTCCTCCTTGTAGTTTTATTTTCATTTCTCTAATGAATAATGATGCTGAATATCTATACATGTACTTTTAAAAAACTACTTTGGTGAAACATCTGTCCAAATCTTTGCCTGTTTTTTTTTTTTTTTTCATTGGGCTTTGTTTTCTTAATTTAAAGAATTGTATACAGGCTTACCAGTTAGGAGATTTGCAAATATTTTCTCCCACACTGTGGTTTTCTACCTTTAACAGGATCATATGAGGAAAATACTATTGATGAAGTACAATTCAGTAGTTCTTATCACTCGTAACTTTTTGTATCATATTTAAGAACTCTTTGCCGAAGATAACATCACAATGTCTCTCATGTGTTCTTTTTCTTTGCTTCTTAGCTTTGGCTTTTACCTGTAAGCCTACGATCAGTTTAGTGATCCTTTTGTATATGACAGCAGGTGTATATCACAGTTCAGGGTTTTTACAAATAGGTTTAAAACTCTCTACTCTCCATTGAATTCTTTCTGTATCTTTTTCTAAAATTAACTGACCATGCATATGTGTGGATCTTTTCTATACATTCTCTAGTCAATGGATTCTGACCTCACACAATATACAAATATGAACTTAAAAAAGACCACAGACATAAATTTAAGAGCCCCAAAACTATAAAATCGTTCGAAGTAAATGTACATATAAAGCTCGTATGACCTTTCTGACCCCAAAAGCATCAACAACTAAACGGGAAAAATTGACAAACTGTAATGCATCAAAATTAAAAATTTTGGTGCTTCGAAGGACAGTCAAGAAAGAGAAACTCTACAGAATGGGAGAAAAATGTTGAATACCTGGCAAAAGGCTACTATCCAGAACATATAAACAACAATTAGAACCCAACGATAAAAAGACAACCCAGTAAAAAACTAGGAATGCGACCTGAACAGCCATTTCTCAGAAAAGGCGCGTAAGCAGCACAGGGTAAGAAACTCAACAGCATTAACTGAGGAAATCAAAATCAAAATCCACACACCATAAGATGGCTATAGCAAAAAAGATCAAGTGACAGCAAGTGTTAGCAAGGATAGAAATTAGAACTAATGTACTGCTGGCTGGAAAGCAAATGATGCAACTATCTTGGGAAACAGCCTAACAGTTCCTCAAAAAATGAGACCAGTATTATCCACTAGTTCCACGCCTAGGTAGATATCCGTAAGAAAACACCCCTCACACAGATCTGTAATGAACGGCTGTGAGAGCGTCAGCCCCGACAGCCAACAAGCAGAGTGACCCGAACACCCGCCAGCTGATAAACGGGTACACGAGAAGTGGTATCACAGATGGGAAACTGTTCATCCCTACAAAGAAAGTACGAAAGCATACCACGAGTGAACCGTGAAAACCGTGGCAGGTGGAAGAAGTCAGACACTGAAGGCCGCCGCAGGCCGCCTCCCGGGACAGCGCGGATGGCCGGCGCGGATGGCATGGCCCAGGGCTGGGGTCTGCAGGTGGGGAGTAATCCCGCGGGTTCCTTCTGGGGTGGAATTGCTGTGGACTTTGATGATGGTAAAGGACTTCAACTGTGTGAACACAGTGAGCACCCCTGAAGTGTCTAATTTTCAAAGATGTGAATTCTCTATTTCTAAACCTACTGGAAGTATGATTTGCAATTTATTGCGTCTGTAGACTCAGCAGGTGGCTCGACAATACCAGGTCTTCAGCTCTACTGCCACCTCTCCCCTCACTGGGACTTCTGTTTCTCTCAGCGATCTCCTGCGAGTTTCTAGTGTGCACAGGCCTTGCACATATGCTGTCCCTTTGCTTTGAAATATTTTACTATTTTTGAAGCTATTATAAAATGTGTTTAAATTTTTCAACTCATGTTAACTCATTTAAGTATGTAAGAAAATGACTGTTTTTAAAATGGTGGTCTTCCGTCCTGCCCATCGATCTCATGATAAACCTGGCAGCCATCTCCGGGTAGAGTCCATCACAGAGAACGTTCGGCACTGAAAGACAGGCTTCTTCCTGTGCAATCTGCACACTTTCAGGTTTCTCTTCCTGACTCACTGTAGTGACTACAATCTCTAGTAAGCGGGCGTGGAGAAAGTGGACATTGTCTTCTTACTGATTTGAGAGGGAGCGTTTAGCCTGTCGCCACCAAGGGTACCACCTGCAGGGTCTCAGACCTGGAAGGCTGAGGTATTTCATTCTATTTTACTCTTACCTTTCAGGATATAGTAAACATTTAACATATACTTGTATGTTCTATATATCCTTTTTATCACTGGACCCAATATACTGTAATTAAGAATTTATGCATCTATGTTCATGAGAGATATTTTGATCTAAGAGTTCTCTTTCCTTGAACTGTCAGTTCAAGACTTTCCGGTACAAAAGTCATGATGTATCTAGAACACCACGAGCTGGGAGGTAGTCTCTCCGACAAGTTTTGTAGAATTGGTGTTATTTCCCCCACTCGAAGTATGGTCAAATTCACTAGCGCCACCATCTGGGTCTGATGTTTTCTTTGTGGGAAAGTTTTTAAACTACAAGTTCAATTTCTGTAATTGAGATAAGGTTAGCCGGGCAATCTAATCTTTCGGAATGAGCTTTGGCAATTTTCTATTTTTCAAGGAATTCATCTTTTCCCATCTACTGTGACTGAGTTAACAGCATAACCCTTACATTCCTGTTCATCCTCGCATTATTTGTAGACTCTATACAGACTCCGTTAACCCTCTTGTTCCTGATGTTGGCAATCTTTTATTTTTCTTGTGAAAAGCCAAACTAGATATGTGTCACTTTCATTAGCTCACAAAGAACCAGTTTTTGGTTTGGATAACTTTCTCCATGTTCTCTTTAATTTCCACGGTGAAATTACATTTCCTTTCTTTTGCTTAGTTTAGCTTAAATTTTTCTTTATCTCTTCAGTCAGAAATAAAAACTGCCGATTTGAGATCTTTCTTTTCACACGTCCATGTGCTTTTGAGCTGCCATCTCCACATATATTTTCACTTTAATGTAGCTCGAAATATTTTCTAGTTTCCTTTTTGAGTTGACACAAAAAGGAAATGAAGTGTATAACATAATTTCCAAATACTTGAAGATGTTCCAACTCTCTTTCTATTACAAACTTCTAATTTATTGCGCTGGAGTAAGAAAGCATATCTTGTATGAACAGAGAGAGATGTTATGGCTCAATATGGCGCGCCTAAAGTTCCCATTGCACACTGGAGTAATTTTCACTCTGTTGTTTTCCCTGGAATGTTCTCTAAGTGTCAACTCAGTCAAACTGGCTGGTAGTGTTGGTCAATTCTCCTGTATCATTTCTAGTTTTTCAGTCTACATGTTTTCTATCATTTATGGAGGAAAGAGCACTGAAATAGCCATTATATAATTGCACATATTTTTCTGTTCTTCCTTACAGTACTATCAGCTTTTATATCGCATATTTTCAAGTTAGGCCACTGTGTGCACAAACTCTTAGTATTATGTTTCCTTAATGAATTGTCTTACTCCATTAGAATTATGATGTGAACTTTATTCCCGGCGATACCCTTTGTTCAGAAATTAATATTAGTGAGTAATAACATAGCTACTACAGCTTTCTTTGTATTAATGGTAACAGACTTATTAGTTTTCTATTGCTGCATAACCACTTACCATAACTGCTTAAAACTACATTCATTTACAAAGCCCAGTTCTGTGGCTGAGATGTTTAGCTGGCCTCACCTAGTCCTCTACTAAAGGTCTCATGAACGGAATCCAGATGTCAGCTGGACCAGCGTCCGACCTGCAGACTCTAGGAAGCAATCCCTTCCAAACCCGCTCAGCCGCGGCAGCTTCTGTCCCGCACGGCCACCAAGCCACCAAGTCTGAGGTCCTCACTTACGTGCTGCCAGTGGGCCTGAGGGCTTCTCCATGGCCGGGGTGACTGCCTGCCTCCCTCTCACGTGGGCCTTCACTTTCTGGCAGACAGTGCAGAGTCCGCCCCCTGCTCTCAAGTGACCTATGCCACGGCCACAGAAAATCCTGCTCTTGGAGAGCAGGTGTGACCTGATTCATTTCACTGAAATATAATCTCTCTTTTGCCAACTTAAAATTACCACGGGGGCAATATCTCAACCGCAGGTCCCATGACACCGAGAGGGACGCAACCTAACAAAAGTCAGGTTTAGTGAGGGTCAGTATCAGACTTCTGCTCAGGACTACATATCCTTTTCAGATACAATCTTTCTTTATTTTTATATTTAAAGTGGGTTTCTCAGCTACAGTATCAAAGCTGGTCTTATTTTTTTTTTTGTATCTAACTTCACAGCCTCTACTTCTAAGTGGAACATTAGCATTTATTATGAATATTCACAGTTGGGTTTAAATCTAAATGTTGTCTATATTTGTTTCATTTGGTCTTTATTCATTTTCTCTCCTTCAATGATTTTTTTTCAAACAAACTTGACATTTTTCCTCAGTATTTTTCTGTTCTGTGAATGCAATCTTTGCATTGCATTCATTGTGAAGGCAATCTTTGCCTGGATCCAAAATAACATAAACTGTGTCTTGTTGGATGCTGGATATTTTTGAACTTGTATAAATATTCTTACCACTTGATCTAAGATGCAGGGAAGTTACTGGAAATACTTCGTTACTGAGGTGAGAAACTGCACACCTGAAACCAGTACTGAATACACTGTAAACAGTTACCTCAGTAAAAAGATAAAAAAAATTCTTAATTTTAAGAATGCTGCTGCCTTCTTAAAAAAAATAAGGGGCTCGTGAGAAGTGAGGGTTATAAAAAATAAAAATCCAAAACCACAAATTTTAAGATTTTAAAATTTTAAAATCTTAAAAAATACATGTCCTTTAGGAGAAACAGCAAGTGGTAAGGCATTTGCCCAAAGTAACGAGCTGTGCTTTCTAGTCTATGTTTTTCATTTAAATAAATGCTTATACATCATAAATTAAAAAAAAAAAAGTCAAGATACACATTAGTTCATGAGATCAAATCTATAAAAGAAATTTCTAATTAATTTATCTACAGTAACACTTTGCATACTATATAATGACTACAACATAATGAAATGAACATGTTTATATTTGACTGTAAAATCTAAGAAATGAACCTTTGAGAAGTCCAGAGTTGTCAATGGGCCCAGGGTACACATTCTGGTCTCCCATCTGGTATTTGTCCCAGCTGTCAAAGCCAACATATTTTTTCCACTGTTTGAACCAGCGACTATCAACTAGGTACCTAAAAGAGAAAACAAATCAGTAAAGGAAAAACACCAGTAGATATATAACAAACAGTAGCAAAGCCATCCGTGTCTATGGGGTCTACTTATAAGGATGGTTAAGAACAACTGAAATTTCACTTACTTGGAAGAAAAATATTCAGTTGTGTAAAAGTATTCTTACTGTTCTAGAAATATCTACTTGAGAACAAGTATTGTCATGCATGTCAAAAAAAAAGAAAACCCTTAACAGCATTTAAATAGCAACTTGAAAAAATATTTGCCAACTAAACAAAAGTTCAAATGCTAGTCACAAGAATCTGAACAATAATTTAAATGCAATATCACAAAGTATAAAGAAATATGAAAAATAGTTCTTATGCAAAAAACTTAAATATAGCAATGGTAACTTAATATATTTTACAGTACCTTTCTAAGGGTAAGGAAAATTGATTATTAAAAGATTTGTAAAATTGGTTAAAATAAGTAAAATGAAACTTTAAACAAACGAGTTAGTTTCTTGACCAACAGAAGTCAGTAAGTATACTGTCTGTTTTTCATATAGTAGAAACTGCTAAGCAAATAGTTGGTCTTTATTACAAAAGTGTGAGACACTGAACACTAGAAACATTATTGAATCTCTATTCAACTTATCTTCAAGTATCTAGCATTAACTTATCATCTACCTAAAGGCACTTTATGTGTTACGATTCTCCATCTCTCTCATAAGTTCTTGACAAGTTTCAGATAATGCTCCTTCACCTGGCCATAATAACTCACAAGCTGCAAACCTTCTGAAATGCATTTCCACAAACAAACTAAACCTTTTCCAAAATTAAAGTGTCATGGTCAGTGGTACCTGTGGGTCTGTACAAAAGCTGTACTAACACCCCCCCCCCCCCGCAAGATCTCCAGATTTTGTCAGTCACGTCATTTACAGATGTCTTGACACCATCTAATTCAGACGTCTCCCAGAAAGTACTACCATTTTTACTGTCCTTTTTTACTGTAAATGACGTTTTTAGTGTGCATGTAGCATGGTGATTTTTAGGAACTTATGTTGTGTTACAGAACCAATAGTACAAAAATTAACTACAGTTGGATTAAGAACATAAATGTATTAATAATAGCATAATTACTTAAAATGACATAGCAGAAAACCCTGTTGACTCAGAATCTAGGAAAAGTTAAAACAAAATGCAAAAAACCTTACTGATAAAAGTTAATAAACTTGCCAAGGTAAAAATGAAAGGCTTCAGCTCAGCAACGACACTACCAAGGAGAAGGATAAAACCTGGGGACATCATACTGAACAAAAAAGACTGAAATGTACGAAGAAAGCCTTAAAGTGAACTTAAAGCAAAGGAAAAAGGGGCAGAGTGGCCCAGAGCGCAGGAACGCAGAGCGGCCTCTGCACACCAAGAAGGCGCGCACCTGCCTGGGCGGAAAAGGAGCCTAGCGGGTGTCACCGCCACCTAGGCCCCGTGCCCCAAGGCACCAGCTGGGCAGGACACAGGTGTGCACAGCGCGCCTGCGCAGCCGCTAGCTCTGCCACACAGAAACGTCCGCTCACCGTCCCGGATTACAACGGTTCGTAACACTGCCACAGAATCTGTACAAGTGAAAAGGTGGAAACAGCTTACTGTCCATCTGGCTGGGAAGAAATCAAAGTCCACAACAAAAGAGTGTAAGAAAATTAATTTAAAACCTTGATATCCATTATTCAGATCATGAAATACTACATAAACTTTGAAATTAGAAAATATAACTATATATATTAACATGGATAAATCTCAAAACTACAATGTTGGGGAAAGCTGCAAAAGGGTACATGTAATATAATAAAGATAAGAGATTTGCACAAAGTATTGCTAAAGAAAATTTTAGATATGCCACATATGTGTTGTTTAATAGATTCATGCATCTATATTAAAAGTATAAATAACCAGAAGGCAAGAAATCAAGTTCAGTGTGGTGGTTCCCTCTGACAAGAGAGAGGAGGGGATGGGATTGGGGGGAATTAGGGATAGTCGTTGCAATCTGCAATGTTTATTTTCCTGAACTGAGAAGTATGACGAGGCATTCCATTTTTCTTTATACTCTTCTGCTTCACTAAAATACTACATGCAATAGGATTATATATTTCCTATTTAATATGGGATAGTTTGTTTATACATACACATTCACATATATACACAAAATGAAATAATCAAATATATATGCTATGAATAATGTTGAGGCCAACAAATTGAAAAGTAACAGCCATCAAATGAAAAGACATTTGACACATTAAAAGAAAATTTGTTTTTAAAAGCTGAGATAAAAAATATGTATAGCAAAATATAAACAAGTACTTTTAGTTTTATGACTATTCATCTTTTAATATTTTACATCTCTTCCAAGTAGATGAATTTGCATTAAATTGTTAAAGATTTATGGAAACTTTGAAGAAATTGCTTTAAAAACTTTCTCAGTTCTAATTTATCAAATGACAAGTGATTTCAGTGTATAGTAATATCATTTTCAAGAAGTTACTTCCTTTTGGTAACAAGGGCAACAAGTAAGTAAAACAGAAAGTAAAAAACTGAGTGACATGTTTTAAGAAAAGACAAACTCAGAAGCATAAAAAGAACAATTACACTGATGCCTAGAGGTATAAGCAAAGGAAGTGAACGAAACATCTTAATATTCATCATATATTGTGTTTAAGTTGGGCAGCTGCAGTAGCAAATATTACATTAAATGACAGACTTTTAACCACTTAAAAGTAACCTAAACACTAAGGTACAAACCTGCAGATACCCCAAAGTACAGTGTAATAATTCTTTGCAATAAACAGACTTAAACAAGTCATCTTTACAGTATAGAGGAGACTTCAGGTGAAATATTTATGACTAATGACTACTGAGACATTGCACTGTCCCTATATAAAGAACTATGAAGAAAATGTACCGAATGTAATCAGGTCAGGTCACTTTAGTTGTGACTGTGGCCACTGGCTGTGACTTAATTGTATTGCCTCTCTGTTTTGCAGGTTACCAGGGATTTCATCAGAATGTTTCTTTGACACTAGATCATTTTCTAGGCTACTTACAGATTAGCCTATCAGTTTGAAAATATTTTATTTTATGAACATTATCTGGGTTCAAAGATTACTAAGATAATCCCAGGGAGAAAATGATCTATGGTCTTCAATCATGTCCTTGAGAGAAGGAATCAGGGCCCGAAAGACAGCCCTCTCTATTTCCAATAATCACTTCAGAGACATGCGAGCCTCAGCCTTTAACCCAGGAAATGGAATAAGTGCTGCCCATTTTTTTTTTTTAAGATTTGTTTATTTGTGCATACAGAATTGGGGCACAGGCCAGAGGCTCAGGGGCGGCGAGAGGCTTCACCAGAGACAGAGCGGGGAGCAGAACAGGCAGATCGACGAAGTCCACTGCTGAGGGGAGCAGCGGGTGGGTCAGGAGGGATCTGCCGTGCCCTGGGGTCACCTCCGGGGCAGGTGGGGATCGAACTCATGCAGAAGCGGCTTTAGATTCTCAGTGCTGTGCTTTAACCCGCTGAGCCACCAGGGAGGGCCCAGTGCTGCCCATTTTTTAAGGATGTCAGAAGACTCAACTTTGAGCACAAGCTTTCTTACCTTACTCCCTTCTTTCAGGAGATGGGAGAACCCTCCTTAATCCCAAAGTTGCCCATGTTTGTTTTTCTGCTTTGGGAGTAATTTCCCCCGTTAACAGCTCCTTGTTTCTCCAGGCATCTTCTGTTTCCCCACTTGGCATATAAGTAGGGTCAAGTGTTTCCCCCTTTCCTACATGATACCTCAACTTACCATGTCACTTCCTCCTCCATTCCCATTTTTCTGACCTGTACTTGCAACAAGCTTCTCTCAAGTTTCTATTTCCTCAACCTTCACTTACTCTTCACCGAGTACTGCAGGTCTTCCTACCTCAATGGACCTGCAAAAAGATTCTCACAAACTCACTAAAATCACCGTAACCAAAAAATCCCTAACTTTATGAACCTTATGGATCTTTTTAGAAGTCAAACCCTGTGATTCTACTTTCAGAATGAGGTGGGAAGGAGGAATCCTGTTTTCTTTACAGCCTCTTTTCCTCTGCTTAATTATTGTTCCACAAACTACTCTCTAACTTCTCGCTCTATTTACACTGTCCGACGATATCGTGACTCACACCAATCGCTGCAAAGTCTGCACCCCGGGGCAGTCAGCAAGTTTTTGAAACATAGTTCAATTCTTATTAGTCCACAGCAACTTGGATTCTCCATAGACATTTTGATCTCCAGTCATCAGTCATCTTCCTATACCTTCGTATTTCCATCTGCAGCACTCTTTCACACGCGAGTCACCCCACGCCCCTCCACCCCTCACCGCCATGCACCTGGTAACCAAGTTCCTGTAGACTACTTCTGGCGCCTGCCCCTCGCCTCTTCACTCTCAGGAGGCACCTGTGTTCTGGAACCTGCCAGTCCCCATCGTTTTCAGTGGTGTGGATGACGCTGAGAGTTGCCAAATGTGTCTCTGATGCTTTACGCTCACCTGCCGCACAGTCACCCTCCATTCTGCTCTTCCAAACATTTTAAGAACACAAATGTGATCACTCCATTCCTCAGATTAAATTTCTAAGATCACAAAAGGAACAGCTACTTTTACTGTCACATTCTTTTTCATTTTTACTTAGCTACTGGGGAGATCAAAACTTTAGAGAGGATGTGACTTCCCAAGGAAAACACTACAGAGTGAGTATGCAAGGGCCGCTTTCAATATGCACACTGGCTTTATCTCATGAAACTATACTTTAAATATCATTTATTTAACAAAGACTTAAAAATGTAACAGATGCTTAATGGAATCATAAACCATACTCTCCTGGCCAAAGAATAAGGATTCCACATAAAAAGTGAAGTAGGAAAGTAGCAAGTTATCAGCAAGCTGTAAGAAAGAATTAAAAAGCTGAAACAACAAGCTCAAACCCGCACAGCGCAGTCCTCATGCGCCTTGAGGTGCGCATCCCAGCCAGGGCTGACGCTGCTCCCAGCTCAGCTCAGCTGCTCCCGCAGAGCCCCTCTGCGCCCCCAGTGCCCAGTGTTCCTGGCGCTAAAATTATGTGAAGAGAACAAACTCTTCTATAAGCTTTTCTAGACTTGTGGTAAACACTAAGTTGTGGGTCAGTGATGTTGGTCCACACCCACTCCCAATATGCTTTCTTTCATGGTTGTCTTTGTTTGCAAATTACTTTGAGGTTTTCTTTCCTTTTGAAATTAGAATAGATAGGGATTTTAAATTTATTACTCAAAAAAAAATAAAATAAAATACTGGGCCAAAATTCTATTTCCAACATTACTCACTGTGACCACTTAGAGAAGCTGCTCAGCACTGAAACCATTAGCTGTTTTTACCTTAGAAAAGGAACTTCACTCACTGAAATAAGTCCTGGAGCTCTGTGACGTCTAGGCTACCCCACAGGCAGGCAGGGGCAGGCGGGCCAGCGACTGCCAAGGCCCGGGTGTCCGCGGGGAGCAGAGTCCAAGGAGGAGCGGGGAACTAGGTGTGGGGCCCGGGCTGCGGCTGGGGGCGCACAGAGAGCTGGCAGCACAGAGGTTCTTGTTCGGGATCAAGGAAAGGCTTTCCTGCACAGGAGCAGAAGTCACTGCAGGAAGAGTAAAGGGAAGAGCTGGCCAAGCTGCAGGACAGCAGGGCTGGGCCACAGCAGCTGCGCAGGGCTGCCCGGCGGGTCAGGCGTGAACCTGGGCTGAAGCGAGGTGGGCCGGCCACGCCTGGGCGCAAGGGTGAGGGTTTTACCCTCCGTGCCATGAAAAGCCGTCGAAACTTTGTTAGCAAGAGAGACTATCTGGTTTTCACTTCAAGAAGACACTGGAGACATCTCGGAACAGATGGGAGAGACTACTGTGTGGAACGTCTAATAATCAAACACGCGAATTACGAGTACTTAAAAGAGGAGCAAGCTGCTGGGGCTGAATATTCTGAAGGCACCAAGAAAACCACTTGGGCTGTGGCCTTGACAACTGGCAATGCCCCCAAGGAGCTGGGTCAATGGTCGGACACCCAAAGTTGGACTTTTTCATCTGATTCGATTTTAAAAGAGTTCTCAAGTGCAGAAAAGCTAACATAAAAAAATAAATAGGTTTCTGGGTGACGAGGGGTTTGCAGTGGAGGTAAAGAGAATTTCTAAAGTTGGTTAATGTTTTTGTGCACACCAGAAACAAATCTCAAAGTTACAGAGGGAAAAATGAATGATTCAAAAATCCTCCTAAATATAAGGGAGTTTAGAAGCAGCATGAATGGGGAAATTTCAACAGTAAGATTTAGAAGCAGTGAGTAAACTAATCTTCCGTTATTTGTACATGCTTATGCTGACAACTTTCAGATAAGGAGTTGCTGCTTCATTGCCTAATGCCAACATAAAAACAACTTTTGGTAAAAGAAAAAAATTATACCTTTTTCTTTG